GATTAGATGGCTATAGGTCTGTAGGTTCATTTCTGGGTTTTCAATTCTATTCCATTGGTCCTGAGGTCTGTTCTTATGAAATCAGGCTTATCTGAAGCAGAAATACTATATTTATTTAAAGGGATATGTATTGAAAAGCTTCATTTGTTATTTCAGTTGGAGGTCTCTTAGTTTCCCCCAAAGCTGTTTTAAGCTATAAAAATTATGTGCAGCACTAGGTGAGTGGCTCAAGTAATAGAGTGCTTAAGTAGTAAACAAAAATCTCTGAGTTTAAACCAGATGTTGTTAAATAATTATGTGTAATACCATAACTGAGACTTTCTGATATTATCTGTAGAAGATAATCTCTATTGGACAAGTAACTTAAAAAAATATTGTTGAATGCTGGTGGCTCATACCTGTAATCCTGGCTGCTTAGGAGGCTGAGACCTGAAGATTTCTGTTTGAAGCCAGCACAGGCAGGAAAGTCATGAGACTTATCTCCAATCAAGCATAAAAAAGCCATAAGTCAAGCTGTGGCTCAAGTGGTGGAGCACCAACTGAGCAAAAACCTCAGGGACAGCACCCAAGTTCTGAGTTCAAGCCCCAGGACTAGCATCAAAATAATAATTCCTTTACTTGAGAGCTACATGTCAGATCTTCTTAGAAGATACTCTCTTTCTTACACTCCACACAGCACAGAACACTTCTGAAGCCATAATACACCAAGAAGGCACCACCTGGGTATCCATTTTAATTTTTTTTTTTTTTTTTTTTGGTGCTGGTATTGAGGCTTTGACGCAAGCTCTCACACTTGCTCTTAGTTTGTGGCACTCTACCACTTGAGCCATATCTATGCTATTTCTGGCTTTTGGCTGGTTAACTGGAGCTAAGATAATTGGATTTGTCTGCCCTGGCTAGCTTGGAACTGGGATCCTCAGATTGCATCCTCCTGAGTAGCTAGGATTACAGGTACCAGCCACAGTGCCTGACTATCCATTCAGTGTACCTGTAATTAAATTCATATTCTACATTCTATCCCACAAGTCTCCCTTGGCTCCAGCCAAGGGAGCTCATCAGATCTCTTGTGAAGAGGATGTTTGTTGGTTAGTCGTCTTTTTGTGACTCCCTATGGAGCTAGGCTGTTACCCTGCTTTCATTACCTTTCCATCTTCCAAATTCTGAAATGTACATGTACATGTGTGGACCTCACCTGAGGTTCAAAAGTTTATGGAGATTTGTTTCCAGCCACCATCACCTTTCTACCTTTTTCTTGGAGGTTGATGGGTGAGGATGAAGTCACTTGGTGATTCTGGTAATTGCCCCATCTGGAAGGTCTCTATCTCCAATCTAAGGTACCATATTAGCATGAACTTGCTTGGTGGTTCTGGGTTCTATGCCTAGTATTGCAAAAATGAGGTAAAAATAATAATAAAAGGCTCAGGTAAGATGAACAGACTTGTTAGGGCTAACAAAAAATTTGTTAGAAAACAGATTTAGGAGCTCTTTATAAAACCCACATCTACTGTATTATTAAAAAGATGAGCCAGGTGCTGGTGTCTCATGCCTGTAATCCTGGCTAGTTAGGAGGCTTAGATCTGAGGATCTCAGTTCAAAGCCAGCTGGGGCAGGAGAGTCTGTGAGACTCACCTCCAACTAGCCACCAGAAATCTGAAAATGATGTTGTGGCTCAGAGTGGTAGAGTACTGGCCTTGAGCAAAGAAGAGCTCAGGGACAGCTCCAAGGCCCGGAGTTCAAGCCCCATGACAAAAAGAGATTAACCCAGTGTAGTGGCTTAGGTGTTGTAATCCTAGTCCCTGTCCAAGGTTAAAGCAGGAGGCGGCCAGCCTGGGCCATATGGCAAGTTCAGAGCTAGCCTGGGCTATTGAGGGAAATTCTCAAGACAAGACAAGACAAAACAAGGAAGATAATCCTATTTGCTTTATCACTCAGGAAATTACAAGAACTTTAGGAGCTCTATGCCAAGAACCAAGGGTAAAGGGTAAAATACAAGTATTTTACAAAATGGTTTGATGGGGTTGTTTTCATTGTTGACATACTATGCTGCTGTCGCATACCTACCCCCCAATCATGGGCTTGAATGCAAAGTCTGGGCTCTGTGCTGAGTCACAGCTTCACTTCAGGCTTTTCTGGTGGTTGATTGGAGATAGTCTCACAGACTTTCCTGCCCAGGCTGGTTTCAAACTGCGATCCTCAGATCTCAGCCTCGTGAGTAGCTAAGATTATAGGCATGAACCACTATAGTGCCCCGCTAATCCTGTGTCATTTTTATGTTTTTCAGATACTTGCATTTGAGCAGTATTTTGGAATCTATCTACACTTAAAATGCCACCTGCAATTGGAGGACCCGTTGGATATACCCCCCCAGATGGAGGCTGGGGATGGGCAGTAGTAGTTGGAGCATTCATTTCCATTGGCTTCTCATATGCATTTCCCAAATCCATCACTGTCTTCTTCAAAGAAATTGAAGGTATATTCAGTGCTACCACCAGTGAAGTGTCCTGGATCTCCTCCATCATGCTAGCTGTTATGTATGCTGGAGGTAAGTGCTCACTAAGGCTTGCTCTTTAAGTTCAGATAACTTCTCTTTTAAGGTTCTTTAATGTTTTAAAATGTTACTTCTTGAAGTTTTTGTGTGTGTATTCCTGATACAAACTGGTTTTTATTCCTGATAACAATGGCAACTCCTACTCCCTTTGTTAGACTGTGAAGCATTGAAGTCCTGATTGGACCAACTGAAGCATTCATAAAAGTGATGCAAGCACAGCTGCTTTTTCTTGCTCTCTGATAAGAACCTTTAAATGGAACCATAAATGTAGATTAAATTTTGAAGTTGGAAAAATTAAAGTCAATCAGACATCCTAAAGAGTTCAGTATCCTGGGAAAAATCTTTTAATGGCATTTCTCAGAAGTGAAAGCACTAAATAAAACCTGCACTTGTTCCTTGTGATATTGTTGAATATTGAAAGCACATGAACTGCATTTTAAATTTGTTGAATCATCTCTTAAAATAGTTATTTCACCTTGACATGAAATCACAGCAAACATGTAAAAGTTAAATCTCCAGTAATACTAAGCAAGTACATATTTGCTTAGGTAACAGGAATTCTAAAGTGTTTTTGTTAACTGGAGTTGACAGTGTCTCGTTGTCTTATTAGGCAAACTTTCTCTTCTGTTAATCTTGTTTTGGTGTTTATTTAATGTCTCATATTACACCTACATGTAGCTCTTTAATAGCCAATATAAATATTCTACATTTTGGCATGAATTGCCTAGCCTTAGGCTGCTAAACTGGTAGCATATTCAACTGTTATGTACTAAGCCCATGGGTATACATGTCGTAAATCATAGAGAACATAAATTCTGACTTTGAGAAACTTTTGAGAAATACATAGTTGAAATCATTGTTGAAGTAAGCAAATGATACATTAAAGAAAAACAGGTAATGAGAATCACGAACTGTGTAGCAACAGCAGTTTGAAGACTTTTTCTTTTTTTTGGTCAGTCCTGGGGCTTGAACTCTGGGTCTGGGTGCTGTCCCTCACCTCTTCAGCTCAAGGCAAGTGCTCTACCACTTGAGCCACAATGCCACTTGCGGTTTTCTGGGGTTTAATATTGGAGGTAAGAGTCTCACGGACATTCGTGCCCAGGCTGGCTTTGAACTGCGATTCTCAGATCTCAGGCTCCTGAGTAGTTAGGATTACAGGTGTGAGTCATTGGCGCCCGGCTTTAAGACTAATTTTCAATTGGATATCTTTCTGTGCCTTTTACATTTTGAACAAAGCCCTATTTTGTGTACTAAACACATTTTAAAAGAATATAGGTACTGAATTGCATTAATTATTTTAAAATAAGTTCAAAGAAATCAAGAGAGACTTTGGAGAGGTAGCAGTTTTTAAACTCCAACCTGTTAGGATTTCTAGTTAGATTTTGACACGGGTGGCTTGAAAAGTTGGTATAAACATTATCTGGATGTAGCCCAGGTGTTCAGAGCAACTACAAACCAGAAAAATTCTAAGTTGCTAAAGTGCTTGGGAGCCCCCTGGATTTTGCATTTAAAAGTCAGTTGTACTAAATGTACATGATACCCTCCTTTGGGGAAACAATTCTTTGTCCTCACCCAGTTAATGAGATAATTAACACATTTCTAAATAATAGACCTCTAAACTTGCCTCTTTCTATTTCTAGTGAAAGCTAATTAAGGCCAACCTTCCTGAAATAACTGAAGGACAGATTGTCTATCATGAGCTTTGTGGAAGAATTTTTATTACATGGGTTATTTTGTTTTGATTGCTTTCTAAATTCTAACAATTTTCATTACTTTACAGCTTTCCTAATGGTTTAACTTGTGCACCTAGACTGCACTCTGAACAGTAGTGTATTTTGAAGTATGAATGGTTAGGTTACATTTTTCTTGAGTCATACTGCATATTTGTTAGAATATAATAGATTATTGGGGTAGGGAAGATTTTAGATGCCTGGTTTTCTTTTATTTTTAAGTAATTATACCTAGGGGTTTTAATTCAATTATCAGTTTATATGTACAATGCATTTTAATATTACTGTTTATGTTTTTGTAACTTGGAAGTATACAGTTACATATTTCAGTTCCAGACTGTTTCTATATTCCTAGTTTGGGATTTCAAATATTTGTAAGTTTATTTCACTAACTTCACAGAGTCAACAGTAATAACATTGATCTTTGTTCTATCTATATAAAATTTCAGGGGCTGGGAAGATGGCTCAGTGGTAGAGCGCTTGCCTTTATGCAGGAGGCCCTGGGTTCTATTCCTCAGCACCACATAAGCAAAAAGAAAAAAGCCGGAAGTGTTGCTGTGGCTCAAGTGGTAGAGTGCTAGCCTTGAGCTGAAGAGCTGAGGGACAGCGCTCAGGCCCAAAGTTCAGGCCCCATGACCGGACCCCGCCCCCCCCCAAAAAAATTTCATGACTAAATTATATGAAAAAATTGACCTATTTCAATGTTCCTTGATCTTATAAGCTGTAAACTCAAGATTTTCAAATTATTTGCAATTCATGCTTTCATGAAGTGACTGTAACAGTCTGTTGGCATCTGGTGAGAGCTTGTTTTTTATTAGGTGGCTCCTAGCTGCTGCTTCACACAGCAGGAGAGGCAAGAGGCTCCCTGTCCTGACCTTCTTGTAAAGACACCAGTTTTCGAGGCAGAGGCCTTAGCTCTTAGTATTTTTCTTTGGGGGCTAGGTTTGAATATTCAGAAGTATGGGGGAGGGGCGCTGCGGTTTGTACTTAGGATTGAGCCCAAAGCTTGCCCATGCCAGGCAAGCACTCAATGCATACATTTTGAGTGGAATTGTTTTCAGTGTTTATGAGAATTTATGAGAATGAAATATATCATCATATGATTATTAGTATATTCTAAATATGTGCATTTAATGTATGTTTTAAAGGGTAGACTTACTGTGTTCGAGGGAAGTAAGTACAGAAATAAACAGGAAGGCAAGAATGTATAGTGTTAATAAAAGAGAAAAGTGTATCTTGTACTTTATAACTTGATTCTAAAAATATGCAGGATGTATAGTGATGGAAAATAAGTTGGATGTGAATGCAGCTCTTATAAGCTTTGTGACTTCACAAATTCCACCATCAGTCTTTCTTTGTATCTTTTTTCCCAAGCAGTTAGATTATAAAGTATCATTTCCACAAGATCATGTCCATGAGCTATGAAACATTTTTTATGAAACATTTTTATAAATATGGATGAGTGAAATGCAGTTAGTGTAACTCAATTTGCAGCTAGCCAAATAAATTGTTTTTCGGGATTTTTTCTTCACTTAGGACAAGGAATCTGTCAAAACCATGGGAAGGTTAGAGAGACATTTCACATAATGGTGTTGAAATTCAGCAAACTTGCTTATGGACCACATAAGGATAATATTATTTATATTAGAGTTGTATTACAGACCTAGGAACTTAGTTCAGTTGTAGAACACTTGCCTAACAATTTTTGTAGTAGAAAATGGATCTATAAGATCTTTTCATGGCTTTTATGATATTTTTCCATTTGGTTTTTTTCACATTCAAGAAAAAGTAGTAAGGCAGATGCTGGTGGCTCATGCCTATAATCCTAGCTACTCTGGAGGCTGAGATCTGAGGATCTTGGTTCAAAGCCAGCCCGGGCAGGAAAGTCCATGAGACTCTTATCTCCAATAAACCACTAGAAAACCAGAAGTGGCGCTATGGTTCAAGCGGTAGAACATTCGCCCTGAGCAGCACAGGGACAGTGCCCAACCCTAGAGTTCAAGCCCCACGACTGACCAAAAAAGAAAGAAAGAAAAAGTAGAAGATGGTTTTCTTTGTTTTGTTCTATTGTACATATTCATCTAGCTGAGGAAATTTAATCTGGTTATTTGGATAACCTATTATTTCATTTCCTATTGAGTTAGAACCAAATATATATTGATTATTATCTGACTTAGCCTTTTGCAAGCATTTTTCACAGTACTGCTATCAGGAAACACAGTAATACTTAAATCATGAAATACAGTAATACTTATTCAGAAGTATTCATACATTTAATTATAGCTGTAGGTCTGTTCAGAAACTGAAACAGCCAAGTATGTAGTCTTATAGTCCCAGCTACTTGGTAGACTTTGGTAGAGGATTAAGGTATTAGTCATATCCAAGCTAGGTGATGTGCCCTATGAACATCCTGTTGTCATGCTGTCTTGCCTTAGAGGTGAACATAACATTCTATTCAGTATTTGGAGATTTGGGACATGTACATTTAAGTTTGAAACATCACAACTATACAAAAAGCAATGTTTTTGGAAGTGGAGCTGTGGCTCAAAGTGGTACTAGCACTAGCCTTGAGCAAAAAGGCTTGGGGACAGCACCCAGGCCCTGAGTTCAAGACCCACGATTGACAAATACAATTTTTTTTAGCTGGGTGCTGGTGTCTCATGCCTGTAACCCAAGCTACTCAGGAGGCTGAGATCTGAGGATCATGGTTCAAAGCCTGCCTGGGTAGAAAAGTACCATGATTGTTATCTCCAATTATCCAACAGAAAACCATAAGTGGTGTTGTGACTCAAAGTGGTAGAGTGCTAGCATTGAACTAAAGAGATCAGGCACAGTGCCCAGGCCCTGAGTTAAAGCCCTATGACCGACCAGGAAAAAAAAAAAGGCAATTTTTTTTTGGGGGGGGGGGTCGGTTTTGGGTTTGAACTCTGGGCTTGGGCGCTGTCCCTACTCTACTGCTTAAGCCACAGCGCCACTTCTGGTTTTCTGGTGGTTTATTGGAGATAAGAATCTCCCAGACTTTCCTTCCTGGGCTGGCTTTGAACCGAGATCTTCAGATCTCAGCTTCCTGAGTAGCTAGGATTACAGGCGTAAACCACTGGCACCCGGCAAGGCAATGTTTTTGCTATTACCTTTCATTTATTTTAGAAAACTTGTCATTTAATTATTCATAGCTTATACAAACATAATATTGAGGTTCCTTTATGTTACTAAATTGTTCACTCTCTCCTAGGTCCTGTCAGCAGTGTCCTTGTGAATAAATACGGCAGCCGCCCAGTCATGATTGCTGGTGGCTGCTTGTCTGGCTGTGGTTTGATTGCTGCTTCTTTCTGTAACACTGTGCAGGAGCTTTACTTGTGTATTGGAGTCATTGGAGGTAAGTTGCTACTAATTCATTTTGATGCATTCACTTTATTGCTGGCTGTTTGGATTCACCTACATTAAGCTTTCAGATATTTTCCTTATGGAATGATACGATAATCATTTGAAGAGCTGTTGACAATCAGAACTACTAGAAAGGCAAACTTGGAAAGAACTCTCATTTAGTAAATACCATTTTATTGTTGAATGAATTGAAAGAAAAGTTGATTGTATCCTTTGTCTGAAGAGTGGACATTGGCAGGGGATGTGGCTCAAGTGGTAGAGCTCCTGACTTAAGTTCACACCCCTACCCCTCACATCTCTCTCTTCCCTTCCCTACCTTAGATAGTGCTGGTAGACAAAAATTTCTGTGACAACTTGTTGAAAGGTGGTCATTGGTTATCTTCTTTCTCCTTACCTTTTCCTACCAAGAATGAAAGTAGGAATAGACCAGTATATTAAACAGAAACCAGGATTTTATATAATATTTTCATTAAAACTTTTGAGAGACAAAGGATATTATTGATGATCCTCTCTTTTTTTGGGGGGGGATCTGGTCATGGGGCCTGAACTCTGGGCCTGGGTGCTGTCCCTCGGCTCTTCAGCTCAAGGCTAGCGCTCTACCACTTGAGCCACAGAGCCACTTCCGGCTTTTTTTTTCTGCTTCTGTGGTGGTGAGGAATCGAACCCAGGGCCTCATGCATGCAAGGCAAGCGCTCTACCACTGAGCCACCTTCCCAGCCCCATTGATAATCCTCTCTACTCCTTGTTTTGTGGTGGTCCTGGGGCTTGAACTCTGGAATTGGGTGCTATCCCTGAACTTAATTTGCTCAAATCTAGCACTCTACCACTTGAGCCACAGCACTACTTCCAGTTTTTTCTGAGTCGTTCATTGGAGATAAGAGTCTCACAGACTTTCCTGTTCAGGCTGGCTTTGAACTGTGATCCTCAGATCTCACCTGTTGAGTAGCTAGTATTATAGGTATGAGCCACTGGTTCCCAGCTCCTACTCTTTGTTTTTAATTACCAAATCAAAGAGATGGACTGCTAATGAGTATTATAACTAAATATAACTCATTATTTCATAGTCTCAGGAATACTGCTGTTTACATTCTGATGTATGTTACCATTTTATAGTTAATGTATTATGAACATCTTTCCATATTATTGAGTATTTTGATGCATAACAAATGTCAAGTTTATTGATACAATAATTTCATTTTGATTAATTGGCTGTTTAGGGAACTGCTATGGTTTTTTTTTCCTTTTTTGTTCGTGCTTGCAATGGATCTCAGGGTCTTGGAAAGAGCTCTAATATTGAGCTACATTCCTAGCCTTTATGTTGTTGTTGCTTTGTGCCAGTCCTGGGGCTTGAACTCAGGGCCTAAGCACTGTCCCTGAGCTTTTGTGCTCGACTAGTGTTCTACTACTTAAGCCACAGGTCTACTTCCAATTTTTTTTGGTGTTTAATTGGAGGTAAGAGTCTCACAGACTTTTCCTGCCTGGGCTGGCTTTGAACTGCAATCCTCAGACTAAGCCTTCTGAATAGCTAAAATTACAGGCATGAGCCCCTGGTACCAGCTTCTTGTGTCTCTGTGTTAAATAAGTGATACTAAATTTTCCTCCAAAAAAAAAAAGTTGTATTCATTTGTCCTCCTGTAATATATGGGAGGGTATCATTGCCAACAACAGGTTGAATTTTTACTTTTTAATTATTGCCAAATGAACAGATGACAAGTAACATCTGCGTGTGTTTTTTTAATTTGCTCTTTGAATACTGGGAAGGTAAATAGTTAAATGTTTGTCATGTTTGTGGCTATGTATATGTAAAGAACAGTTTTACATTGTAATTTATTATTATTTGTTGGAATAAGATGCAGTTTTGATTGTTTGAACTTTTTATTGCTGTGTAGCACAGGCTGGCCTTTATCTGGCCATTCTTCTACCTCAACTTCCTGAGTCCTAGAATTAAAGGCATGTAACCTTGCCTGGTTAAATGCATTTTTGAGCAGTGGTGAGGAAGAACATCTAAGAAGCATTTTGCATATTTCTTTCTAACACTATAGAGTAATTAAATTAACTATTTTCTCCTTTAATCTAGAATGCCGCTGTATCTTATATTAAATAATTGTGTATATCTTGATAATTGTGAATAACTCACATCTGTTCTTGGACTCCCTGGACATTTTTACCTGTCTCTGAAGCAGGGCCACACTGTTGAATAACAGCTTTTATAAAGCTGTTTAAATATCTGATGTAATTGGTCCTGTCTTTCCCTCTATCACTAAAACTTTGGAAACACCCATATTTGAAAGTCATTTTACTTCACAGAAGTAACTGACATATTTAGTAGACGTGGATTGAATTAATGTATTCGTTTGGGAGGACGACATCTTGACAGTTTGGGGTCTTGACTTGCCCCAAATTTAACATTTGTTGTTTAGTTCTTTGACCTCAGAAAAATTTCAGTTTGAGCCTGACAAATAATAGTTTGGTGAAATGGGTCAGTTTGTTGCAAATCTGTGTCTTTACATATACTTGATAAATGTCTACTTAACTGGTAAGTATCTACTTAACAGTGTTGCATTGTTAAAACAGCTCTGGTGATTGCATTATTTGACAGTTACCCTGAAATAAAAACAACAAAAATATGTCTTGGGAGTTCACTGAGTGTTAAATGGTTTGCAAAGCTCTCCGCAGTGCTTTTTACCTCTCTGAAGGGTTAACAGCCATCACTGGTGGGTTCATGAGTCAGAGATTACACTTAGCAGTCATACTGACCTTTGAACCTTATGTAGGCTGGGTTAGAACCCACATATCTAGAATGCTAATAACTAAGAGTGAGAATTTTATCTCCTTTCTATTATCCCTTGTTTTAGTTTTTGTTAAGAAATTTGTTTTTTGCCTCTTTCCCTAGGACTTGGGCTTGCCTTCAACTTGAATCCGGCTTTGACTATGATTGGCAAGTATTTCTACAAGAAACGGCCATTGGCCAATGGACTGGCCATGGCAGGCAGCCCTGTGTTCCTCTCTACCTTGGCTCCTCTCAATCAGGCTTTCTTTGGTATCTTTGGCTGGAGAGGAAGCTTCCTAATTCTTGGGAGTCTCCTCCTGAACTGCTGTGTAGCTGGATCCTTGATGCGACCCATAGGGCCCAAACCAGCGGAGGTAGAGAAAGTTAGGTCCAAAGAATCTCTTCAGGAAGCTGGAAAATCTGGTGCAAAAATAGGTGCAGGTGATGCACATACAGATCTTATAGGAGGAAACCCCAAACAGGAGAAACGATCCTTCTTCCAAACAATTAATAAATTCCTAGACTTGTCCCTGTTCACTCACAGAGGCTTTTTGCTCTATCTTTCTGGAAATGTGGTCATGTTTTTTGGACTTTTTACACCATTGGTATTTCTTAGTAATTATGGGAAGAGTCAGCATTATTCCAGTGAGAAGTCAGCTTTCCTTCTTTCCATCCTGGCTTTTGTTGACATGGTTGCCAGGCCTTCCATGGGACTTGTGGCCAATACAAAGTGGATAAGACCTCGAGTCCAGTATTTCTTCGCTGCTTCTGTTGTTGCCAATGGAGTGTGTCACTTGTTAGCACCTTTATCCAACAGCTATCTTGGGTTCTGTATCTATGCGGGATTCTTTGGCTTTGCCTTTGGGTGGCTCAGCTCTGTATTGTTTGAAACACTGATGGACCTCGTTGGACCCCAGAGGTTCTCCAGCGCTGTGGGCTTGGTGACCATCGTGGAATGCTGCCCTGTGCTCCTGGGGCCACCGCTTTTAGGTACAGTATGATTCCTCACTCCTATCACTATTCTAAAACAAGAGGACACAATAGCACAGTGACATATTGCTGGTTGGTGGGAAGGGCAAGTCTTTCATTGCTGTTTTTGTTTGTTTCTTTTCTGTGTTTGTGTGTGTGTGTGTGCACACACACACACACACAGAGCAGTACTGGGGCTTCAACTCAGAGCCTGGATAATGTGCATGGGTTTTTTTGTTCAGTGCTAGTGCTCTACCACTTGATTCACAGCTCCACTTCTAGCTTTTTGGTGATTAGAGATACAAATCTCATGGACTGCCAAGCTGGGTTTGACCCCTGATCCTCAGATCTCAGACTTCCAAGTAGGGTTATATGGGCCTGAGCCTTCAGGACCTAGCTTGCTTGCGAGTTTCTCATTTCTGTAATTTGCTGCTGCACAGTGCATGGCACAAGGTGACTGCCCAGCTTACAGAGCAGGGTTAGTTGGAACAATAGCAAGCTGAGTGAGGAGGCTGAGGTGAGAAGATGATGCCACCTTTACAGGTGTTTAATACTGGTGGCAATGTAAGCTCATAGTGTATCTTGCATCTTACCTCATGAGCCTCTGGGGTAGGAATGAGTTAACCCCAGTTTCACAAGTGAAGACCTACAGGCCTCAAAGGTTGAAATAATTTGGCTAAGACTGCAGTTTGTAAATGAATATAGTATATGAAACATATTCTGTAAGGTTATTAAATACTACTTTTTTACATCAAAAGACTGGGGATGGTGGTGCACACGTGTACTGCCAGTAGGCTGAGGCAGGAAGATTATGAGTTCAAGTGACACTTACAGTGAGACCCTCTCTAAGTAAAAGGTAGATTAATTTACAGCCCCACATAACATACTAAAAAGCAATTCTATTTGGAAAGTGAGTGTATATTACAGAGAGAAGGTCTGCAACTGATACTGCTGTCTTCCCAGCCCTCTCTTAATGAGTCTCATCCGTTGAGATTTCATCTAAATGTCCAGTGTGTCCATTTTCTCCATTGCACTACCACCCTTATTCAAACTTGTAACTGCTGTACAGGCTACTCTGAACAGTAGCTTCCTAACTGCTCTGCCTGTATTGGCTCCTTCTGTTTTCCAGTGGCTTATACCTCTCCAGCGGCTGGCTCATTGTTCTCAGAGCAGAAATCAAATTCCTTATGTGACTTTCTGGGCTCTACAGAACCTGTCCCCCCCCCTGCCTCTCCAGCTTCATTTCTTGCCACTGCTCCAGCAACCCAGCCTTTCCTCCCCGTCCCACAGCATGCTTCCTCCACCACTGTACCTTTGCCCTTGCTCTTACCAGCCCTTCTAGTGAGGTAACACCTGTCCTCCCACCATGCCCAGCACAGTAGGCTTGCTCACCACACTTCCCAGCCTCATCCACATGTGTTCAGAACTTTATGTTGGCCTGTAGCATACCTTGCTTACCTTCTCCCCAGAGCCAGTGGACAACAGAGGTTCATTGAGCCCTTCGATGAGTGATGCCAAGTTAGGGGCCATGTGGCTCCTTGCACACTGATAATGGAGTGCAGAGTAGTGTTTCCCAGGTCATTCCTAGAGATACCGGGAAGATGAGATCTAATAAGCCCTGTGTAACAAAGCTTTCGTGGCAAAACACAAAACAAAGTACCCTGGTTAAATAGGCTTCATTATTGACAGCTTCATGAAGACTAAGAGAAGGATGTGAAGTTTCACTTGACTTCAACGCCAGTATTATCTATGGGCCTGGAGCCAGACTTAGGGTTAAAGTAAGCTAGTTTACTTACCAGCTTTGTGAATGTCTGTCCTTCAGTTCTTACAGACCCCAATAAAAGCTGTGTGCTCTGAGAGAGATTAAGTGCTTAGAATGGTGGGAAACTGACTGTTAAAATCTAAGCACAGGGCAAGCACTCATAGGAACACTGTGAAATGCTGGTGGAAAGAGTATTAATATCTGGAGCACTTCAGTGGCTTTGGACAAGACTTCCATCTAAGCTTCTCTTGAGCTATAAATTTTAATGTTAAGTATTGAGAGTTGATTGCAGGTGATCTCCAAGACTCCTAATTCAAATTTCCCCAGAGCTGCTTTTTTCCCCCTTTCCTTGTGCCAGTCCTGGTGCTTGAACTCAGGGCCTGGACTCTGTCTCTGAGTTTCTTTGGCTCAAAGCTAGCCTCTACCAGCTCTACTTCTGGCTCTTTTGGTGTTTAATTGGAGGTAAGAATCTCCAGTTGGACTTCCAACAGAAATCCTTAGTTCTCAGCCTCCTGATTAGTTAGGATTACAGTAGTAAGCTATCAGCACCTGGCCATTTTTTTTTTAATTTGGTTTGTTTTGTTTTCTTAAGTTGCTGAAAATAGAGCTCAAAGCTACCCAAAATTGGTGAAAATGTATACTCAGAATATAGTTTTAACAATTCATTTTGATATTAATTCCAGTAGCCATCGTTCTTTGGGGTTCCTTCATTGTTATTTGGGAAAGGGTTCTTGTGTTCACTTCCACAGGCAAAAGCTGTACTCTTTCTCTCTCTAGGTCGTCTCAATGACATATATGGAGAATACAAGTACACGTACTGGGCATGCGGTGTCATCTTAATTATTGCCGGGGTTTATCTCTTCATTGGCATGGGCATTAATTACCGACTTATGGCAAAAGAACAGAAAGCACAGGACAAGCAGAAAAAGGAAAGCAAAGAGGAGGAGACCAATGTAAATGTTGATGAGAAGCCAAAAGAAGTCACTAAAGCAGTACAGTCTCCCCAGCAGAAAAGCACAGGAGACCCCACAGAGGAGGAGAGTCCTGTCTGATCCCATGGGCTATACATGGGAGGAGCAGTCATGACCCAAGACATCAGACAGTATTCTGCTGGCCTATCCCAGTGGTGCTCAGCGAGACAGTGACACCTGCATGGATGCATACCCGTGGTGTTGGTGGACTTTTGTTCTGTTCCTTACCAGCGCTTGAGTTTGAGAGGTTATGTGCTCTGGTGAGGAAGGGGTAGTATGTCTGTGGGAAAAGTCAGGTGTCTTCTTTTTCCTTTTTGGTTTGGTTTTTGTCTTAATAGAGTCATGAAGATTGTAATCTGTGCCTTAAGTTTTAGTCTTTAGAACTCTTTAGAGAGCCTTAACTTTTTAAGCCATTCTGCTGAATTCATCTATATTTTAAATGTCCTCTTCAAAGGTAAACTAAGAACTAATTGAAGTATCCCTTTAAATTTCATCATGATTCATCATGTGTAATGTGTTGTCAGATATTGTTACTTGAACATTTATGGATAGAAATACTGGTTTAAAGTTTGAGATTTTTAAAAGTACTAAACTATTTTTCTAGTATCGGTAGCTGCCTAATGTATGGGCTTGCTAGCTATGTATTTAGGAAGTTTTAAGCAGAAAAAGCTCAAAACATCTTGGCTGTTCTAGCCACTTCATATTTGTGGACCTCTGTACCTTTCTTGAGCTGCTTATTAGAAACCAAATGTTAGATCAGTGTTTAAATTTCTACTTTAGCCTCCCTGTTCCTGAGACATTTTGAGTGGTTGCTGATTATTGTCCAATTTGAAATCACTCAGTATTATTTTTTTCTCATTATGAAGTTAGTATTAAAATCTATAATTGTTATATTTAATGTAGACATATTTCAAAGAACAGCTGAAATTCAGCTTAGGATTTTCCAAAACTACATTCTGAAACTACTGGAGTGCGTGTGCGTGTGTGCACGTGTGTGTGTGTGTGTGTGGTTTTTTTTTTTTTTAGTGGTGTTGGGGATTGAAACCAGAGCCTCAAGCATGCTAAGCAAGTGTTTAACCACCGAGTCACAGCCAGCCCTCTGGAAACCCCCACCATAACCCACATCACACTCCACACCCCTAGAGCTTTTTCCTCTTGATGTTTGGTGGTTCCATGTACATTTGCTTCAAGCTTAGAGTTGTAGGTGCTATATTCCATGCAGACTGATGTGTGTGATTTTTTAAATACTTTTTTTTTAAATTCAGAGGGCCAGAAAAATTTGGTCTTCGGCAAACCAATAAAGATAAAATTGGGAGGAAAGGTGCTAAGTGTACTGCCTTTCCATACAGAATTCTTCATCATCCCCTTTTCCTTAAAGGATCTAAAGCAAACATGTAATGCGTAGAATTATTGATATGTACTAAACTCTCCACATAAACTTTAAGTTTTAAGATTCTTTTCATTTACCCTGAATACAGGAAAATGGATTTAGTAAAAGGAAAGGTGAGAGAATGGACCAGAATCAACCTGTAAATATTTTTAACCTGATACCTTCTAACTTGAAGCAGAATGCTACAGATGACATTCAGTGAATTATATGCAATGTGTTTTAAATACCACTGTAATTGACAGGGTCAAATAATAGATTAAAAACTTTGTAAGAGGTTCTCTTCCAAATAAAACATTTTATTTTTAGAAAATACTTCTTTTTCCAGTTTTTTTTTTAAGGAAAACAGTGTATGCCTTCATTTTTATTAGCAAGCTGCTAAGCACAATTCAGTTGATATGCTTGATGTTTTTCTGTGTGACTTTGGTGTGATTTTTCTCCATTCCCCTTGCTTTAAGACAAGCAAGGGTGCCTGAAAGACCCAGAACAGGGCCAGACGACACCAGGACCAGGTCCCTGTGTGGGTGCAGGTGCAGACACAGACGCAGGAGGAGCCGGCAGGAGACCAGAGTTCTGCCATCTAACCTATGTGTACAAATTTTCCCTTCTATAAAAATGAAGATTACCACTAGGGAGAGAATGTAAGTAATGGAAATGCAATAATACCAAGGCAAGAGCACTAACAAGAGTGAGGCCTTAAGTTCAAATCCCAGAACGTTCCCTCCAAACAAGGTAAGTGTAAGGCCCATTTTTCCTCATTCCAGCTGTTGCAGCTTCAGACGAGAGCAGATCCTGCCCCATCCATACTGGGTTAAGGAGTCCCAACTTTGGAGGTACAGATTTACGAGTCACTCAGAAGGCTCAAAGCCGGAAGTAAGTTTTTATTATACACTTTCATTGTTTTTAAGGTGTTGTACAGAGGAGTTAGCATGTCATAGATGAGGTAATGAGTGCATTGCTTTGGTGGGACAGTCACCCCTTCCTTCGCTGTCCCCCAAGGAAGTAAGCTTTTTTCAAGACCGGGTCTTGCTGTTAAATCTGGATTGACATTGAATTAGCCCTCCTTGCCTCAGCTGCTTCCCAAGTGCTGGGATTATATATGTCACCCAGCTGTGGAACTGATGTTTTGTCATTGATTTTGGGGGTAGGGGGGCACTGTGGGAAGAGCTTGGACTTAGGACTTCACACTGTCTTGGGTTTTTACCTCAAAGCTAGCTCTCCACCACTTGGGCCACACCTCCACTTCTGGCTTTTTGGTGGCTTATTGGAGTAAGAATCACACAAGCTTTTCTTCCTGGGCTGGCTTTGAAGATCTCAGCCTCCTGAGTAGCTAAGATTACAAATTTGAGCCACCAGTGTGCTGCCAGAACTAAACTTTTACTAAGATTATTTTGGCTTTGGATTGCACTCAGGACCCTACCACTAAACTACATACCCTCAGCCCAAAGGGTTTAAACCAAGCTCAGTTTCAGTACCAGCCCGCACAAAAAGTCAACATAGCAGCTTTCTGCCATCTCTTCCTTGTTCGTGATTAGCTAATCATTTATGGCAAATCAGTGGGCTTTTTGATCTTTTCTCTTATCCCTGAGTTTATTTACTTGAAGTTTTGTTTTCTCTCACACGGTTTTAGTGGCAACTTTGGGAAGAGAGGTATGCATGCAGACCTGCTTTCCTTTTCGCTAAGTGGATGTCTGTGATAGGAAACTACTCAGAACATTCTGAAACAGCCTCCCAGGTCACAGTGGGAAAATGATTTGAAGAAATCAATAAGGTTGGACTATGGAAGATCATTGTAAATCAGATCATGTTATGTTATAGTCAAGTCTATTAAAATTTAATTATCTTAATTAGCCAAACATTAATTATTCAGGAAAGGATAATAAATTACTGAAGTTTCAGAGTTAGTCATACTGAGTATTCCTTTTGATTCTTGTCTAAATTTAGTGATTTGTATCATGGATGTATATATCAGAAACAAAATGGCTGGACACGGGTTGGCTCATGCCTATAATCCTAGTTACTCAGGAGCTGAGATCTGAGGATCATTGTTTGAAGCTAGCCCAGGCAGAAAAGTTCATGAGACTCTTATCTCCAGTTAACCAGCAAAAAGCCAGAAGTGGCGTGGTGGCTCCAGTGGTAAAGGGCTAGTATTGAGCAAAAAAGCCCAGAGGCAGTGCCCCAGGATTCAAGCCCCAGGATTGGCTGGCACCCACACAAGAAAATAAGGCAAGAGGAAGGGGAAAGGAGAGAATACTAACAATTTTCTAAAGGAGTCCATGTGTATTCAATTGTATTGAATCTGAGTATTAGATGGCTGTGTGTGTGAAATACCTTAGTATCTATGTTTTGCCTTGCCTACCAGATGTCGTGAAGTATAATGAACTCAATAATCAGTGCAGATGCAGCCCCTCCCCTGCCACCACACTTGCAACATGACTTGCTTTAATAATCAAGCCCAGACACTTGCCCAGAAGATATGAAGAAAGAAGTTAATGATAGACTTGGCTAACTATGATCACTCTCCCAGCTCTTAACTGGAAATAACAGCCTGAGCTGGCCTGGCTTGCTCAGATGTGTACAATCAGGCAAGCCACTTCAGGCTTTCAGAGCATCTCAGCCAGTGGAGATGAAGGAGAGAGTTCGAGGACATCACTGAAATACCTGTGTGCCTGACCACTGTGTTTACCTCTGAGCACTTGGAAACTGTGGCAAGGGTCTGAGTGTGTGTGTGTGGGGGGGAGGGGTTGGGCACATGCACACAAATATATTAACGACTTTGAACGCAGGATCTCAGTTGGCTTTTTCATTCAAGGCTAGTGCTCTTCCATTGAGCCATACCTCCACTTCTGGCCTTTTTTTTTTTTTTTTGGAGATGAGGTTCTCACAGAACTTTGAATAGTGATCCTCAGATATCAGTCGCCTGCATAGCTAAGGTTACAGGTGTGAGCCACGATGCCAGTCTTGACAGTTTCTCTGAATGTGAAGAGCACTTACTTTGTGCCGGTTTTTACCCTAATTGGCCCAGAGAATTTGGCCATAACTAGCAAAATCACAGCTGCTGGTTCATTGACCAGATGAGCTCCATGGGTTTACCTTGTGTGAGTGATCTCAAGCTCCTTGGGGCTGCGCTGAGCATGAGATCTTGTTAATAATTAGTTCCCATCCTTAGCATTGTGGTGAAGGTGGGTGGATATGAGGCTGCTGTGATAAGCAAAAGCTTGATAACTCACATCTCGCCATCCAAGTAACAATAAAAGGTAATATGTGGGGTTACACTAGGCTCCCCAGTTCCCAAAGAACACTATTTGCATGGGAGATTGGGTTCAAACCTGCGGTTTTCAGGCAGGGGCTCAACCTCTTGAGCCATGCCCTCAGCCCTTTTTGCTTTGTTTTTCAGATAGGGTCTTGGTATCTTGCCTGGGGTTTCCCTTCTACATAACTGGTTACAGGGATATGCCACCTTTCTTGGCCTGCCTTGTTGTGACTTTTAAAGACTACTAGCTAAATGGTCAATTTTTTGTTGTTGCTTTGTCTTTTGGCCAGTCCTAGGGCTTGAACTCAGGGCCTGGGAGCTATCTCTGAGCCTTTTTGTGCTCAAGGCTAGCACTCCTATCACTGGAGCTGCTATCTATCGCACCACTGCTGGCCTTTTCTAAGTAGCTTATTGGAAATAAGAGTCTCAAAAGACTTTTCTGCCCAGGATGGCTTTGAACTGTGATCATCAGATTTCAGCCATCTGAGTAGCTAGGTTTATAGGTATGAGCCATTGGTGCCCAACAAAATGATCAATTTTTTTAATGCCTGCACTGAGGCGTGCACTTAGGGCTGTACATTCTTGAGTCTCACGGGTTTTTCTGCCCAGCCGACTTCAAACCATAATCCTCAGAAATGAGCAGTTTTTTTTAATTTAATTTTTTTTGTGAACATACTGTACAGAGGGGTTACAATTACATGGGCAGGATAATGCTTACCTTTCTTATCAAGCATTGCAGCCTCCTCCTTTGTTTACCCTTCACATCCCTTCCCAGCCTCCCCCCCCACCCCCCACCCAATCCCCCCCTCCCCCTCACCAACGTTGTAAAGCTCGTTTTTGACATGACAACTTGTACTTCTCATTGTTGCAACAGGTCCACCTGTATCCTTAAACGACTTGTTTTTTCCCATCTCCTCCACAAGTTATACTGACATCAAATATAGTGAAAGCAGGGGTTATACTGTGGGGGAGGGACATACAAAGCAACAAAGAGATAATCTTATAAATGGGTAGAAACAAATGCATGGAAGAAAAAAAACATATCTAAGGGTTCATTTTCCTAACATCACATTATCTGACCTTTTCCGTTTGACTCATACATATACTAGATATTGCAAATAGAAATGAGCAGTTTTTTAAAAAAAATTACATTCTCTCTTTTTTTTTTTTTGCCTTTTGTAGTTGATTAGGTGAAACCAACATCTTAGTACTTGGTTGAAACATGTCTGTTCCTCGAGTGATGTATATTTGAGTCCCAAAGCCCTGGCTCTCAAGAGATGCCCTACTAGAGGCTGAACTTTCCCCCATACTTCCATTTTTTTTAATGGCATTTCTGCCTCTTTATGTTTCTTCACCCAGAGTGTAAAGACTTTTCCTTATTACCTTTTTTTTTTAATTGTAAAGATGCTATACAGAGGGTTACAGTTACATGAGTGAGGTAATGAGTACACTTCCTCTTGAACATTGTTACCCCCTCCATTGTTTTCCCCCTA